TTGCTGGTAAAAAAATAAAAGAAAAACAAAAGATATATAAACCAGAATATCAGGCCAACAACAACAACAACAACAACAACAACAACAATTGCTGTGACAAATCTGCAATTTTTATTACCGTTGTTGCCTTTTGTTGGGTTCCTGTTGCCTGTCAGCCTGCAAAATGATCGAAGAGTCGCATATGAGAACGCGAAGCAATTGAGATTGATGGTTGCCTGGCTGTATGTACATCTAGGTAAGGGGGCGGTGCAGCCAGAAGGGGGCGTGCCAGGCCGTCAGTCAATGCTCTTGTTGTTGCTTTTTTCCGATTTTCGCAGGGCCATTTTGCATTTGGCGCGACTTTTACATGAAAATTACAAACTACTGGCAACAGGCAAAAGATTATTTTTCTTGCGTAGGTTGCACTGTGGTTATGGTTTTTTTTCGTATTTTTGGAGCACGAGGCAGGGGGAGGGGGTGGCACATGCCAAAGGCAGCAAAAATTGTGTCGCCAATTGGTGGTGGCACATGTATATAGATGCACTGAGAGGAAAATATTGAAGAGAATCAAGAGGGAAAATGTCTATCAAAGGTTTTTGTTATAGAAAAAAGTTTATAAAGTAAATCCTTGGAATATTATTAAGATACATATTTCCTATTTATAAGATAAAATATATATTTTTAACTTCAAAAAATCTACAAAAATATTTTTCCACTTTTTTTGCCGTGTCTATAGCAGGCGGGGTAGCCGCTTTGAATGACGCATGCTGCGAGTGCCAAGCTCATGGAATTCATGATCAATGACTAGACACAGACACAGACACGCACACACGCGCCACAATCATAAACAAAATGGAGCACGAGGGAGAGGGAGAGTGTGCGAGCGAGAGGGCCACAAATTAATGAACACTTTGGCTGACATTTTAAGGACAAGTTCGTCGTCGAATGTGGTTTTTCTGAACTTGTAGAGAGAGGAGAGGAGAAAAATAGCAGGGGGAAAGCGGGAAAAATAGCGGGGCTACCTGAGGTTGAGGTTGATGCCTTATGCAATTGGACAGTGAGTGATTGGGGAGCAGGCAATGCTAATGGTGATATAGTATCTGCTGTCCATTCGCATTGGAAGCCGCTTAAAGGATTGCGAACAGCAAACGGTTGCTGAAAGTTATCTTAAAGACAGGATTAAGTGCGCCCGAAACTCAGTGAGATATATAGCTAAGACCTGAGATAAAGATACAATCTTGAGTGGCAAAGATATAAACATCCTTGAACTGGCTTTGATTGGATTTTCTTCGGGGGTTTTCTTGTTCATTTTGCTGATCCCACATCATGGGCAACCCACTCACATTCGGCACAAGGACAGCCTTCTGAACTAGCTGCTAATTAACTGGCTAACCGGCCTGACTCTTTGCCTTTTGCGTTGGTGTCTTAAGGTCTCCAAGGGAGAGCTTGTATGTAATTCAATCAATGGCAAGACAACAGCAACAGCGGCAGTAACAGCAACAGCAACAGCAACAGCAACATGCTACATGCCAGTGGCAACCAGCTAAAGTCATTGACAATTGGGGCCAAGACATGAGACAGCGGAGAAGACAGGCTGCGACCACTACAAGGGTCACCTAATCAATGGGTCTACGAGATGTTGCAGCAACATGTTGCCGCCGTAACAGCAACTGCAATGCTTGTTGCAGTTGTCAATAGAAGCGATTTGAAACTGTTGCACTTTTCCCATGTGTTTGTGTCACTTGGTTGCAACTCCTAGAAATGAGTGGGTGTTGCTGTTGAGTTGCTATTATTGCGTGTTGCTGCCGCTGTGGCAGTGTCAAGTGGAAAGACAACGGCAACAGCAACGTTTTACCGGCAGTAATGAGCTTATTTATTGATAGGAAAGACAGCCTACTACTATTTATGACAACCTTGTGAAAGAGAAAGAGGATCAAAAGTTGGAAGTTGGTATTTAGTTAAAAGAAAATTGTAATGAAACTTAAAATTAGTTTGAAAACTACAAAGGAGAGCCATTAAAAGGCAGACTTAACTACATATCGATTGGGTTTTTCCAATTAGTCATAGCTCGCGGGCCAAAATAGACCTCATGTTACGATATTTTAATTAAAATGAAAGCAAAGAAAGGAAATGAATAAAAACTAAGAGAGAGAGCAGTTGACCCATCTCCTGGGTTATTCTGAATCTTCCATTTACGATCGCTGCCCGTGCCTGACTCAAATTGACAAGCACTTTGTGACTTCACTCACGATTCCATTTGGCCAATTCCTGCCATTTAGCAATTTGGACGTTTATTTCTTTGGGCCATAAATCAAAGCCGGACAAACGAAAGTAAAGTGTGCAATGTAATTACAAATTAAAAGCATTGGCAGCCAAATGGCCAACTCGCTGCCACAAAAACTATGTTGCAGCCAGGCAAAAACGGGCAACAGATAAACTATTGGCGACATTGCGAGGCGATTTAATGAAAAGCGCGCGGCCATTGGGAAATGAATTTTGAAATTATATAAAAATGGCAAAAAATTAGAAAACGAGGGGGAAAACAAATCAAAAACTGAAACGTTGAGAGGGAGTAAAAAGAAAATTAAAGTCACGGTTTTCAGCGTGTAAAGTGTGCGATGGTTGCTGATGTTGATGTTGCTGTTGTTGTTGTTGTTGCATGTAGCAGCGACACTTGCAGCAGTGGCAGCACTAGCAGCAGCAGCAGCAACAACAACAATCAGCCAAAACAGTAGAATGTAAATGTCTTTCTGGTCAGGATCGTTGTTATTTTGCGGCCGCTACAGTTGGTGCCACAAAATCCAAATTGCTTGGCAGCCATCGACAAACAGCAAACAAAAGCAACGGGCCAGCAACCTGCAACCTGCAAGATGCAAGATCCAAGTTGCAACTTGCTAGTTGCAACTGCCTCATCAATTGATTAAATTTGCAACTGCACACAGATCGTCGTCGATGCCTTTCACTTAACAGTGCACGATTTTTATTTATTTAGATTTAGATTTAATTTTGCCACAGCCCGTTGCCATCTCTCTCACTTCGGTAATTTGTTCACCTGAGCCGAAAATATCATTAAAATTGGTAATTAAGCGGAAAATGTATGTATGGAAAGGCGAAATGTGGCAGGATTGATAAGCATTTAAGTTGGAGAAGTCTTTTTACCATTATTCCCATCATATTTAGATTTAGACAGAAAACGCATCCGAACGCAATTGAAATGTTTGGGTTAACGCTGCGGAAAATCTACAAACAATAAGCATGTTTTGTTTTCGGCCAAAAATGGCCAGAGCTTGGAGTTTGGGGCCAGGAGCATAGAGCATACTGCCAGATAAAATCTAACCGGCATTTGTTGGCCACCACCGCCTGGCCACCAACAAAGTCGTCGCCATTGTTGGCAAACGGCAGTCAGGTGTTGCTTTTATTGTTTTACAATCACCACCGAGCCACCAACAGCAAACAGCTAAGAGCCAGCCAGCAACAGCCAAGAGCAACAACAAAGGAGACAAGACAAGAGGAGCCTCCTCATCGATATTGGCCAACTTTCACAAACAAATCTCGGCGCAAAGTCGAGCCATAAAAGCCACAACACAATTCAAATAAAATGAAAATAGAATCAAATAAACTTTTCTCTGCCAGGCCGGCCAAACAAAAGGCCACAGTGAAAAATGTATACATATAAATAAGCTAAAAAAAAAAAAAGTATATATATAGGAGAAGAAGAAGAAATCTGCAAGCTGTAAACTGCAAACTGCAAGTCGGGTCATAAAGAAAGCCCTGGGACAAACGGGCGACTTCCACGGAGTCGCGAACCTGGCCAACAGGCCAAATGCAAATTTCCCTCGCCTCCCAAAAATAAAAGAAAAATAACCAAAAAAAAATCAACCAAAGGCTGACCCAAAACAATGGACAGCACTGTAAGGCACATCGATGCTGAAGTGTTAACCGATTGTCCAGATACGCCAGGATTGATAGTACTCGAAAAATGGCTGCAGGACAACCGATATTCCAGCTGATATTTCTTGAAAGGAATGGATATCTTCATTACCCTTCGATCTCCGGGTGTTTATGGAATTATTTCTTCTGCGTTTTTTTTCCTTTTACATTTTTCCTGGTTTTCCCACACACACGTGAACCTGGCTAATTGGCAGTTGGAAAGCTGCCTAAATCTTTCCGCCGTCTGCCCCATTTCGAGAACCTGCAACGTGCTCCCCCAACAGCAAGAACATCATCTCTAACTGCCCATCAAATAAATCAGCAGCAAGAAGCACATGCAAACACGTTGGCTCTTACACTTGAAGAAAAGAAGGGTGACAGAATGGGAAAATATTCCAAGAACTTCCTTTTCTAAAGAGTAACTACCTTCTTATTGATTCAAAACCAGAAGATTTCCCACAGTGTATCCATATTCCGTCGCAGCAGTCGGCCGGCACCAGTTGACGGTGTCCAATTTGCTTTTTTGGCCATCTCAGTTATCAGAGTGCGCGTTTTAATGAGTTCGAGTACGTTTTATGAGCGAAAAACTCTTGAGAAATCGGAGGAACCGCAACGCACCAAAGTGGAATGCACACAAAAATGTTAGAATCTCGCCGCGGCGATAAAACTTTCGCGAGCAAAGAGCCTCAAACCGAAAAGGCACAGGCACAGGCACTCGACTCGAAAGAGATCTGGTGGAGCTCATCATAATCAACTTGGATGGCGATGGTATGATGGTCTTATGATGATTGTGATTGGTGTCGCCTCACCTGAAGCCCTTCACCGCCTCTCGCCGCGTTGCTTTCATCATCATCTTTTCTTCTTCTGGTCTGGCACGTACGCAAAGATGCCTCGAGATGCGAAAGATACAAAGAATATAAACACAAAACCAACGCAGAGGTACGTGGCATGTGAAATATGTGCAGAATGGCTAAGGAAAACGCCGTGGAATTCATGAATGAATGTGTCATGCGTTCTGGCCAAAACGGAATATGAATGAAATGCGAGGGAAAACGCGCATAAGAGCTTAAGCGGATTTGCCGGAAAATCTGTGGGAAATGGAAAAATACCGCAGCTTCACAAAAGTAGACAATGGGTTAACAGCTGGTTATGGGAAGTTTGTGAAGCATACTTTTGGGCTGTCATCTGGAAAAGGGAATTACATATTTAATTTCTAATTAAATTGATAAAGGGCAATAGCAAGATGATATGAGTTAGTTTATAAAGAATATAAAAAAATATTTAATATTCAAGAGATCGTATATATAAATCCTCAGTTTCTATAACCTAGTAGGCACTTCGTTTTAGCCAAAAGTACTTTTTATTTCCATAACACTCACAGACACCCTAGCGTAGAGTAGTGTATATCAGAATAAATTTGTATTCGAATTACCAAATCACAAAACAAAACTAAACACAAGATGTCGACCGTCTCCAAGCCAAAGGAACTCCTTACATTAAAAACCAACGATGGCAAGATTTTTAAAGTGGACGAAGTTTTGGCCTTACAGATGTGCCCAGTTCGGGATTTGTTAATGCTGGAGGAATGGAAATCTTTGTACACAGAGGATGCTATTCCCCTGCTGCGGGTCAATTCTAGAAGCCTTAGTTTCATCATCAAATGGTGGTCAGCGATGGTGGACAAGAAGGAGACCACTGCTTTGCAAATTCTCAAAGACCTGGTTTTAAAAAAAAATATGGTGGACTATCAATTCCTTATGCAACTCGTTATGGCCTCAAACTATTTGCAGATGGATGACCTTTTGAAAGCTTCCAGCCAACTACTGGCAGAAGTACTAATATCCTGTGGCTCCGTTGATAACATTCGCCAGAATTTCAATGTGCCATCTGATTAAGTCAAGGAAATGGTTCGTAAAATTAATAATAAGTTGGAAAACTGGACAGATATCTACCTTTTGGTAAGTCATTTTACTTCTTTAACTTATTTCTACTTTATTTTGAATTTTTTATCTTAGAAAGTTTTAAAAACGGAGACTACAATCCATTAAGTGATTATTTAAAATTATTTGTTTATTAAATTGTTTTCCCCGAACTGCTAAAAAATAAAGAATAAACCACTTTTCTCTAGAGAAACCACCATTATTTTTGTAAGTAATTAAATCTTTATTAAATCTCAATTTGTCGGTGATTATTATTCAATATTTTTCTGGTTTTTTCTGTTGTTTGTGATCTCTGTTTTTATTTGCCAAAACTCTCGCTACGCTTATTCCTCTACTTTACTTAACTTCTTTACTCGTACTTAACCCTTTTCGCATTTGCAAATTTTCACAACTGTTTTCTGTGGTTTCTATTTTTCATTTTCTTTTTTCTTTTTTTTTTTTATCATACTTTTGGCCTTGGCCCAAAAACTCGGTTTTTCTTCTTCAATCGCTTCATGGTGTTCTTAGTTATTGCTATAGATCTTTTTGTTTTTCTCGTTTTTCTTGGTTTTGTTTTTTATAGTTTGGTTTTTGTGTTCCTGCAACTGCAGAAATTGGCAAAGATGTGTCGAAAAATAGGGAGTAGGAAGAACCAATGGCAGAAGAACGAAAACTGGTGGGGATCGAGGAGGAAAGGCCCTGCTGTAATACGAAAGTCGGTTCTAGATAGCACACATATATCGCATATATATATCGCATATATCGGGGGAGTTCGAAGGGGTCGAAACCGACCGTCGACGACGACGACGACGCCTCTGGCTCTTCTGCTCTAATTCTTGTGTATCGTACACTATAAATCGCTCCATAGAAAAAGTGTAAACTATGCTATCCCATATTGATAGAGTTGTATAGCTTCCTGGCTGACTCATCTCATATAAATAGGTGTATACATAAATGAATATATACATATATATATTCTGCCTTTTGTATAGTCATTAAATATGTATAATTTATTTATTCTTTATTTATATATATATATTTGTTTATATGTATATATGCAATATATATTGCTTAACTTTTTGACAATGCAACGCTTTGAAGCAAGAGGCAGACATAGAGAGAGATTCAGATTCAGATTCGGATTCGGATTCGGATTGAAACGAAGGACTATACGAGTACATATATAGTTTCCGATTTCGTGGATAATCCAAAAACCGAAAAACATTACAAGTTCCCCCTCCCCCCTGTTTTCTCGGTTAGAAGTATGAAACTTGCAAAGGAAGCGCCACTGTATCGTTAAACTAATGTCCTTGGGTTCATTATCCCTTAATCGGTACGTTTTTCTTTTTTCGAAATAAGTTGCTTCTTTTAATTTTTCTTTATATGCTGTGTCTGTATCTGTATCTGTATCTTACTAAGTGTCCTTTGAAACGGAGTTCATTACGTTACGTTACGTTTTAGTTTTAGTTTTAGTTTTAGTTTAACTTTAGTTTTAGTTTTACATTTACTTTACGTCTTTTAAGTTTTAATATTCACGAGCACGCGCGAGCATTTCAATTTGCATTTTCCTCAAAATGTACAATTTTCTGGTTTTTGTTTTTGTTTTTTTGGTTTTCGGAAATTCTTTTTGCATATTTCCATATCTTGGTTAAGTTTACTATGTGGAATGCTTGAGTAAAAGTTTCAGTTTCGCTTTTCCCTGCTTTTACAAAATAAATATTCATCATGATGTTGTTCCATCTGGTTCCGAACTCTGTACTCTGTCTCTAAAAAGTTTTTAGGTTACGTGACTTACGTCTTAAGTTGTAATTTTAACTTCGTTTACTCTCGTTTCTTCTCCTCGCTAATAAAAACTTCATTCTGGGTCCAACTTGCTTCAGTTTATTTTTCCTGATATTTTGTTGCCATTTATTATTAGAGTTTTTTTCTATATACTTTTGGGTTTTGTGTTTTCTTTCTCCTCCTTCAGCTTGAGCATTCTTTTGTCTGCTACACTCTTGGCTTTTCCTTCCTATATCTCCTCTCCACGATAAGTTTTAGATTTGCAAAATTTTCTTTGGCGATATGTATGTATGTACATGTCAGAAGACAATCGAGAACTTAACATAAGGAACTCAGGCTGGAAATGAAAATTGTATAATCGGAAAATCAGAACGAAAACAACTTAATTATCTTTCGTAAACATGTCTTTCGAAAAGTTAGAATTTATTTTTTTTTTCTGTATTATCGTATATTCTGTATATGTGGTAGTTCTAAGTTTAATGTGTTGTTTTTTTTTTGTTTACGTTTAAGCTTTTTACAATAATGTAATTATAAATGTAAAACATAATTTTCCTCTCTTTCTGTTTTTGTGTTGTTTGTTTTTGTTTTTCTCGTTTTCAGTTGGCTTAATTCAAAAATTAAAAATGTATGGAAAGCAACAGTAAGTGTAAATTAATGCCTAAGCTTTAATGAATTGTTTTTCTCAGCCATTTTTATCGCTTTAATGTAAACATTTAATCGAATATCATTTAGGGTTTCTCCTCATTTCATTTTATATAATATAATACATAATTGCCTTGACTCAAAGAAGCGACTTAACATTTCTACAAAAGAGACGAATTGATATTTTGATTTGCGTTGGTGAAAGTGGCTTGAATATCGAAAGAATTTTATTTACACACAATTAACAAATTAAGAAAGTGAAACAAAGAACTTAAAATTAGAAAACCCAGCGACGGCGCTCTCTCGCCATGAACTATGATCAACGGAAAACTAAAAAAATTATCAATTATGTTCTTGAATGTGGCCTTTCTTTCTTCGTGTTCTTCATTTTCTGCATTTTCCTCGCCTTCTCACGTTTTCTTCCTCTTTTTTTTTTGCGTATTTTTTTCTTTTTTTTTTTGGGTTTTATTTATATTTTTTTGCGTTGAAAGTTTTCATTTTCCTTAGTTTGCTGGCTTAATTTTTTGCTTTTAAATATTTGTTGACAATTTGATGCTGCATAAAATACAATTGTTGCTTGGGTTGCTGTTGTAATTTGCTGGAAAGTTGCTGCCATTGCAATCGTCATGGCCTATGGAATCTGCAAGAGAAAGTTTTGATTAGTTTTTGTTTTTAGCCTCTCTCCCGTCCTCCTCTCACAAATATAATTAAAGTTTAAATGCCGTGTGGCAGTTTGCTTAACTCTTTAAGGCTAAAGTCGTAACATTGCCAGCGCACAAAATCCAAAAAGCCATTACACCCCTTTCTCCCTGCCCAGAACAAAATTCAAAAACTACAAAAAAAACGATGCCAAAAACGAAATAGAAATGGAAAAACGTTGCCGTTGTCGTTGCCACCGAATCCTTTGTGACTGCATATCGCCAAAATGCATTTGTAAGGGACTCTCTGGTGGACTCGGTGACTGGTGGCCAGAAGCTGCACGTGACACTTCACTGGCCATTGGCATTGGCAATTTTTTGCTTGGCTCACTTTTTGGCCATTCGATTTGGCCGCAAGGACACGCCCGCTACATAATTCAGGGGCTGGCTGTTGTACACTGGGATGTCTCAATTGCGAGATTGCTTTGGCCCCCACACAGAACTTAGCAGCCAACCACCCACACACCCTCTCATCCACACACACACACACACACACCTACCCAAGAGAGCAATTTGCAAAACCAGTTACATTCAGAACTTGGCCTTGGCCACCGAACCGCGAAATACCCTGGCCCGGCAATGGCCACTACATCACGGGGTTTAATTACTTTAAAGGCCTAAAAATATTCGAGGTTTTAATAACATAACTTCCCTTTCATCATCATTCTCTTGAAAATCATTTAAAAATCCAATATTTCATGACCAGAAATCAAACTGTCAACTACAATTCGATTGTATTGCCATCTTTGGCCCATAAATTTACTTTTAAGTCAAGTCCTGACAGTTGCCAAAACTATTTCCCACTTTTCTCTAATCTTCAAGGGCAAAATTAGGTGCTAGAAGGAGCCCCTCGTACCTCGTCAAATGCCGACTGCCCTCGTGGACGGCCATTTCGGAGGACTTAAACTCGTTCAGCTCCTTGCGAATGGCGGCCTTGTCCTTTGGCGTCAGTCTTGTCCACGGCTTGTCCGCCCGCCGATCATAGTCGTGGGCCTGCGTGACCTCGATGTAGTCGTTGAACCGGATGATCTTCTTCTCCTTTAGCTCCTCAACGGTCGGCCGGAAGCTGAGTTTGCGCAACAGATACGACTTTTTCTCCTCCTTTTGCTTCTTCTCCTCGGCGGGTGATTGAGCTGGAAAATTGAAGAAGATTGATTGAGATTAATAACGTTTATTTAATAGGTTAAATTGAAGGGAGGAAAATGCCAACTAAAATCAAGAATTATCTGAGTTTTCAAATTAGATTTATGACATATGAATAAATTATTAACTGTTTGTTACTTTTCAGAGACTTAACAAAGTAACTAATCTTGATTTTAAGTAGCTCTTTCCATCCCAAAATTTCTACTCACTTTTCAAGATGTTGCGCTCGACAAGCTCCTCGGCCGTGGGTCGCATCGACAGCCGGCGGATGAGTCGGGCTCCGATCGCCTCCTTGGACTCCTTGAGCTCGTTGTCGTTGACCTGGTGCAGGATATTGCGATTGATCAGATCCTGCTTGTCCGGCCTTAGTTGCAGTTTCAAAGACAGGGACTCCTTGCGGGCCAGTTTGGCCAGCCGGGTGTTGTCGTTGTCCTCGTCCCTGTAGACGATATGGCCATCGCTCTCGTCACTGTCACTGCTGCTTTCGCGTATCACAAAGGGCCGGGCATTCTCCTTGTTCTCGACGGTGCACGGCAATTGGATGTTGAACATTTGCTGCCTGCTGTGGGTTAAGAAGCATCAAAAGGCGTCACATTAGGCCATATTAGCATTATGTCATTAGCAGGCGCATTAAACACTACAAACAAACATACAGACATCTCGGCACAAAACACAACCACAAAACAACAGTAACTACTAGCTACAGACGGCAGACCATGCATTTTAGTTTCAGTTTCAGTTTCAGTGTCCACCTCCTCTGAGTCCTTCCTCTCTCTCCTTGACAATCTCGGCCAGGCAATCTGCCAGATTTAGCCAGCTTCTGGCACTCACATGTGCATAAATATCCCTGCATGTGTTGAATTTATTCATCCACGTGCACACAGTTCTAGGTCTTTTCTCCTATCTCCTGCTACAGTTGCAGGTGAAATAGTAGCAAGTTGCGAGGGTATAAACAACCTGATTTACATATTTAAACGCTTTTAATTGGATGGTTTTACTGGCCCATAAATTGGCTTATTCCGCAATTAATTATTATTCTGGTGGTAAAAACATTTTGCATAATTTCTATATCTCTTTTTTAAATCTTAATACAAACCGCTTTTCATTAAATTGGATTTCTTTCCCTATACCTAAAACCACTTTCCTTTTCGTTAACCCTTAAATTTCAGCACATTCCGGAAATGAGTTTCCCTCTCCTATTATCATAAGCACAACTGTATCGTGTCTATCTTTTTCCATTTCTGTCCTTTAAGTTTTGTCACCAAGGCGACAGAGAAAAAAAGGGAAAATGCTTTTTTCCACCTCTTTATTTTCGTTTGCTGCTGCGGCAGTTTGGTTTGGTTTTCCCCCCTTTTTCTCCTTTTCTCTTTTTCTTTTTTGTGGAAAACGGCACGTGGAGTGCACATCTGGCAGCTGAAACCCGTGCAAATAATATGCAAAACACATGCATATATACGCATATGAACGCTCATGTGTGTTTGACTTTGTACTTAAAGCTGTCGGGGGGGAGGCTTCACGAGGTCTGGAAAGCCCGCCTCGAATGCCATATCCTGCTTTGGCTGCTTCCGCCGCACTTTCGGGGCGTTAATGCAAAACACGATTGGATAAAAACTGAACAAAGCCTGGTGTTTTGTATAGTACAGTGTAGTGTGTGTGTGCTTTGGGGGCAATGCGGCGTATGAGTGACGCAGGACGCGTTCCCTCGGGGAAGAAGCTCTACATTCTACATAGTTTCCTAGCAACTGCCTCCGAGGAAGTCGAGTGGAAATGCCACACGGGAAGACCCTATCTCTTCTGAAGATTATAACTTTTTTTTTTTTTAGAATTTTTAGTAACTTTATTTTTACTTTAAAAGGAACGTTGAAATGGTAAAATCTTGTTTTCCCCTCAACTGACTTCCTGATATGTAAGCCATTTGTTTAAGTTTCCCTCTTTTTCAGCAGCTCCTTTGCTTTTGTCAGTCTTTCACTTTTAAAAAATATTTAGAAATATTATTTTAACTCAAAACCAAATCTATTTTCAATATTTAAACCTCCTACTGAACCCCTAACCTATCAGTTCGCCCAGCATTTCTCTCCTGACACATCTCCGTCACATTTCAAGCGATTTAGCCTCCATCAAAATGGATTCATAGTGCGACATACCCATAAATTCAGCCCACTCTCGCATTTTCCGATAGAAAGATAGATGTGCAGATGGTTAGATATTGAAGGGGGCAGCACAGGGCAGGCACAACAAGAAATCGCTTTTTACCAGGCACGTTTCGACGAGCTTGGGTTTCGTTTACGCTGCGCTCGCTCTGCAGCTATTTTACATATTTTCCATTTTATTTGATTTTTGTGCGTTATAAAGTGCATAAATTGTTGGCCATATCAGTCATGTGAAGGAAAAGCGGTAAAAGCGAAATACTCGAGCTTTCGAGTGAGGCCTGTCTTTGTCCTCCACTCAATTTGAATTTTCAATTTCAGTTTCAATTTCGATGCACTGGCTGGCTGCTGGCGGGCACATACTTGAAGTTTTCATTTGGCCGCCGGACAACTTAAAGGCAAACTTTGCCTAATGAAAAAACTTGACCTACCCCATACACCATCGGAAAACTCATTTCCTTTTAAGGCTGCCCCTGTCTTTCACTCGGCATATTTGCGAATGTGGGAAATATCAAATTAAAACTGGGAAGGCAAATTGTAATTTGAAACAAATTCCAGCTTGAAATGAAACATGCAGGAGGACTCAGAGGGAGAGTTCGACAGACAACAGTGCCAAAGGAAAGACAAAGAAAGTTTTTACGGAAAAAAATAAGTCTACACATACACGCACACCCACACACACACACACATATAGATGCAGAGGTAATGGAGAAGACTCGAGTGTTGTTGTGGTGGGTGGTGGAAAAACAAAAGAAAAACTCATAAGAGGCAAACAACGAAAATTGCAGCGAAAAAAAGTTAGTAATTTAATAAGAGTGTACTAACGGCTGTGTGGGTGGGGTGGTGGAATGTTCGCGAGTGTGTGTAAGAGAACTACCAGTGTTGTAAAGTTGTAGAACTTTCAGTTTTTATTTACCCAAAAGAATAAAACAAAAACTTGTACAAAAATACAGACAGCTGAGTGTTAGAGTGCAGCAAAGTGCAGGGAAACAATGAGAGCAGTTTTTTGTTGTTTTTGTGAGGGGATTATTTTTGAAAGGACTGCGGGGGAAGTGTTGTACAACGCAGTGTGTACAGAGTGTAGTGTTATATAACAACATTTAAGACATTTAGAATAGAAGAGAGAGAGAGAGCAGTATGTGGGGGGGTGCACTAAAAGCATTTACTGTTTGGGTTTCAAAGGGTTTTTCATGGGTTTTCACATTACACATTAATTAGCTAAAAATTGTTTACCATAGTCTAATCCGTGGTCGTAGTATTGGCCTGATATTTTGTAGTTTTAGTTGAGATATAGTAGTAGATATAGAAGTGGATGGGTTTGGTGGTTGTTGTTGTTGGTTGTTGTTGTTGTTCGACACGCACACACAAACGAATCGAATCGAAATTGTATATGAAAGAGAAAGAACACAGGTTTTCGGGGGGCAGTCGGGTGTGGGAGGAGAGAAGAACAAATTGTTTGATGTTATAGAAAATAGTTCGAGTAACATTAAAGAAAAAACATAACAAAGTGGACGAGGGGTAGATATATTCTTTGGTGAGCTTTTCTTTTCTTCGGTTTAAACTTTAAAGTAGCTAAAAAGTTGCGATTAAACTAGAACTAGAGAGAGAGAGAGACAAACGAAACCCTCTCTCGGGGCAGATTAACAAACTTTAGTTGGGTGACTGAATAAAAAACTACCAAAAAACGTGGGGGAGTTCAAGGGGGCGGTTAAGGGCGTGTTTTAACAGGTCAACAGGGAGTTAAGTTAAAACGGCACAAAATTATGCTACTTAATTGGGCGATTATGCTGTTTATGTTTGATGGAGGGAAAATGTTTTTACAGACGAGTTTTAACTTGGCTAAAACTCAACATTCCCTGGTCAAACATAGCCAGCATTATCCCCTTTTTTCGATCTTAAAACCTTATCTTAAACTCACTTGAGCGAATAGTTATTGCCCGCCGCATCTTGGCGAACGACGAGCGGTCGCTGGTTGGCGGACTGCTGTGCTGCTGCTGCTGCAGCTGCCGCCATTGAACCGATGCCGCCATTACTGTTTGCCATGGCCGCCGCCGTTGCTGCGCTGCCCGCTCCATGTTCCTGGGTGGGCGTAACAGGCGTGGAGGCTGAGGCCGGCTGGATGCCGCCCTTCTTCTTCAGCGCCGACTTGAGAGGAACTGCATTTGGTTTGGGCTCTTTGGCTGGAATTTCCTCGACGCGCTGCGTGTCCATCATGCGCACATGGTTGCCGCCATATGGGGCATACTCATCGTCCGAGTCAAGCTCATCCTGATCCGGATCGTGATCTAGTTAAGGGGAAAGATATGGAATTAGTGGAGATTTCCTAAGAATGTATTTATATAGGGGCTTGGGTTGAGGGATAAGGGAAGGGTCTAGCCATTGTGGGGTTCATATTAAGTTGGTTATCTGTCAAGGTTTTGATCATCTTGATAGATATATATATATAATCAAGGTATATAGCTGGATTTATAGTTAAAAATCCTCAATAAATCTACAAAACTAAGACCCATTCTAGTCCAGACTTAATATCAACCTCCCACAACTAGCTTACATTATGAAGTGCGCGTTTTTGTTAATGAGCTGAGGGTTGGCTAATCTGGTTGTTGGTTTTCCAGGTCGGGTTAGGAGTTCAGGTGGGGTAGGTTGGTAGGTGGTAGGTAGGGGAAGGGGGGAAATTACCATCGTAGTCGTAGTCCTGCTGGTAATCCTGATCGTTGACGGCGCCTGGCCCGTGCGGTCGTCCAGCGATGAGCGTGGGACTCGGTGTGGAGAACATCGGGGGCGGTGGGATCGGTCCGATCTCCGATAGCGGTATTGGCGGCTCTGGCAGCTCGCTAAGCATTACGCCCGGCGGTAGCTTGCCACCCGGATAAGGGGGCGGAGTGCTGCCCGGCGGACCACCCACCATTTTTCCATCTTCGCCATCTGATTAAGATCATGATTAAGTATTTTTTGTTGTTGTTGTTGTTTTTTTTTTCAGTGGAAAGAGGAGAGGAAGTAGAAGATAGAGATAGAGATAGAGATAGAGATAGAGATATAAGAGAGAGCAAGATAGTCAGAAAAGAGAGAAAGTGAGCAGCTCTTCCTCGAGTCTAGCCAATGTCTGTGTGTGAGAGTGTGCATGTGTGCGTGGGTGAGTGACTGTTTAGGTGTGTGCGTGGTGGTTAAGTGTGGGTGAACTTAGGCGATAGGGTAAAGGAAACTGATAGATCAACGATTAGATTTAAAGATCCTTAAAATAAATCATAGAAAAAATTATTTGTCCTAAACTTGACTTTAAAAAGTTGTTTTAAATATTTAAAAACTCTCTCAATTAGATAGTTTAAACCCAATTCAAAGTTAATTTTCAGTTTCCTTAAACCTTTCACCCAACATCTTACAATCTAATGAAACGAAAAGCCATTTCCAAGGACATTTCCCTCACTTACACATGTGCTCGTTGTGGTAGCAGATGTTGACCCCGCGACGGGTCAGCTTATTGGCGCCGGCCAGTGTGTTGGGCCTCTCCATCTTGCCACTGCCATCCACCTGGTGATGGCCACCGCCTCCTGGGGGCGGCAGCATCGAGCCCTGGCAGGTGGGCTGCTCGATGTTGGGCGTGGATATTGTGCCATTGCCTCCGTGTTGTTGTTGTGCATCAGTCTTGTCTTTTCTTGGTTCTGCAACAACAAAAGAAAAACAAAAAGAGCAACATGAGTCAGGAGCAAACTAATTTATGTTTAAAAACCAGCCATCGCAATCCACTTGGCAGCTTATATATGTATGTGTGTGTGTGCGGTGTGTGTGTGTGTGTCAGTGTGTCTGTGCACTTGACAAGCTTTTACTTTAATTGTCGTGTGTGGCTGGTCAGAGGCTTTTGGTCTTTGGGTCTCCGCTTGGCGGTGAGTCCTTTGGGCGGTCGGAAAATTGCCTGGCGGGCAGCTGGCCAGGCAACCACTTCACCGGCCACAAAGCTCTTTTGTGCACTGAGAGAAAAGTTTAGGCATTCCTGGCTCTGATATTTAATATTCTTCTAAAAGGTTTACTCAACTTTATCTGCTTTACTTAAGAAGAAGAAGTTGATTTACATTTTTAAAGATTTTTCTTTGATCAAAAATGCAAAGGAGACCCCCCCTTTCTCCCAGTGCCCTCTTTTCACTGCTTTCTTTTTTCCGCTTCTGTTCATTTTCCCTTGACTGCAGAGAGTAATATTTTTAATTGTTGTTAAGGGCTTAAGCGCTGCCACTTCGTCTGTTTGAAATTGTGGCAAGGACTTGGGTCCACCCAGGCGTATGCTTATTATTTCCTTGTTAAACTCAAGTGAAAGAAAAACAAGCACCTATCTGACCGGAAATTGCCCGAGTCCCAAGTTTTCGCTTACCCCTCTATTTTTAGACATTATCCCACACCACACAGCGAAAACCAGAACTGAGGAAAATATCTTATTTTCGTACTATTAGCGAACGAAGAGATCACGCAATTAAAATTCCAACCCTAAAGAAGATCGCTTACAAAAGCAATTAAATAGAAATTCCAAATAGATTTTCAACATTTTGCTGATCAGTTGACAGACAGCCAAGAAAAACGAGAGATGAGAAATCCTGAAAATATTTATGGGCCCAAACATGAAATGAAAGAAAATCGCTCACACGGCCATCACACGATTAATTGGCGATTCGGACTAGCAAATTAATTCCGATTTTTCAACAAGTTGCGTGGCATAAACAAGCTGCGCCAGTGAATAATTCATTGAATATTAAATGAAAATGTGCAGAGAGAAATTCGGAATACTGCATACCAGCTGGGTTAATCGCACGTAAATAAATATCAAAGCGGCTCCCTAAATACGCAGCGCGCAAATGTTCCCGCGGGGCGGTCATAGGGTATACTATATGCAGGAGGCGTGGCAAATCGTCAGCACCTCGCAGCAAACTATTCGAAACAGATACGAATTCCGCTGGCAGTTGGCCAGCCACCCAGAGACTTGACGTGTTTGCCTAAATATGTTTTTTAAACAAGCAGCGTATTTTCGTTTCGTTTTTTGTTTGACGCGCTGAAGTAATGAAATTATTTTCCCACTCGCACATCAAGTTCAAAAACAGCCAAGCCAAGCCAAGGAAAATTCTGAAATTCTGATGGCTGTCAAAAGAGAAACCGCAAAGGAAAATACCTTGACTTTGACATAGGTGAAAAGTGGCTAAATATTTTATCATTTAAAGCATTTAATGCCTTCAAATTATATGATTAGTAAAACTGATTTGATGCCTGTCAAAGGGAAATTAGTAGGAGGAAAGACCTTGACTTTGACATAGGTGGAAATGGTGTTTGTGGAAAACTAAACACAGCGGTGATGTATACAAAATAGAAACTAATGTAAGCAAAATGAAAAACCAATTAAAATTCACTATCAATTATGCAAATTGAGATAAAATGTTCTGGCTATCTCGCTCTCGCTCTCTCGGTCATTAATCAATTACCACTGACAGCCTGAACTTTAAACACAGAAAGTGCGGGTCTTGAATTAGCTGGATATCTTTGGGATTTTGTATCTGATGAAAGCCCACCCACGCACCTTGCTTTGGGTCAGCAGTACACGGAGAGAAAACTTAATGGTTGTTAAGGCAAAATAAAGTGGAAAAATTACTTCTTTTCTGTGTCTTTTTTCTTATTTTGGAGGCATTTCTCAACTTTACCTTCAACCTTTTTATGATAAATCTAGCTCAGAAAGTTATTTTTCCAGTGCAGAGACCTTCGAATCCCCAGCTGTCCTTTGCAATCATTCGGGAAAAGTCATCAAGTAAAGTTTTCCTGCCCGCCTTTCTCTCACTTCCTCTCCTCTCCCCTCTCTCTCTGTCTCTTTTAGTTGCCATTTCCCCACGAATGTTTTCCCTTATCAGACATCGCTCGTTCTCACTGTCTGAGGAACAATGTGCACACTAATGACATTAATTAAGCAGAAAGTTTGGCCTCTAATTAGCAAACTCACACACAAACACAAACAGTACACGGCCAAATACAAACATGGCCAAAATCATTATCGCCCTAAGCCCCACCTCCCACTTCCGAACACTTAAAACAAAACTCTAATCAATTATCCCCCAAAGTCTGGCCTGCAATTACAAATGCGGCAAGTTCGTGGGCCAGACTGTCTCCCCTTATTTTTGGCTAATTAATGCATAAAGTGTTGGCTTAATTTCAGACAAGTTAACATTTATTCACTTGCCGAATTAATTATTTAAAAATCATGTCAAATGTGATTCTTGAAAACATTTCAAAAAGACCTCCACAAAGCACCCAACCAAGTTGATTAAAGTTTGTGCCTGCCACAATATGATTGCCTCGCACGCAACTTTTGTGTGGGCGACACAACCACACACACACACACACAGTGACGTCACAGGGGATTTGGATTCATGTTAAACGTAATGCGGAGATTTATTTATAATTCAGCCCGCCCGCACTCCATGAAATATCGAACGGGGCGATCGAGGGGAAGGCACAGAGAGTGAACAATTCGTGATGCAGCCAGCAACTAATTGCGCGGCCACCCACACAATCGCAGAAGAGCAGGTACACAGAGAGAAAATGTAAGTGAAGTGATTTATGGGTTAAATGAAACTAAGATAAGTAGAAGGTATTAACTTTCTAAAGCCCAGAGATTAGTTTAATTAATGCAATAAATAAATATAAAATTCGAAATAAACTTCATTTTATCATCGGAATCCTTTAGTTTCTGTGCCTAACTTCTCGCACAAAAAAGCTTGTGTTATTTTTATCCCTCTCAACAAATCAACGAGGAAAGGGCAAAGTTGCGGTCTGGGAGAACGACGAGGGCCCACTGTAACTGCAGGCAATGTGTGGATATTTGATAAATAAGCAATGAGCATTGTGTAAGGGGGAACATGTGAGGAAGTAGTAGCCCTGGGAATGCTGCAAAAAAGCCGCAGGCAACACATTTTCATAGCTCATTTTCAGTTTTTGCATGACAGGCGAGAGGAAGAGAGGACATTTGGGGAATAACCAAGAACAAGCTGTATGAGAAGCAGAGAAGATATGTGTGTGTGTTTGTAGGGGGGCTCCCTTTAGAGATTGACAGGCACAGGGAAGGCTTGACGTCACAACGAAATTACATTACTCATACGCCATGTGCCCATGAACAGCAACAGCAGCAGCAGCAGCAGTGGCAGCTTTTGGGGGTTAAGAATGGGCGAATATCAGGCAACAACACGTGCATTTGACTTAGCCCTGGGTGGAAATTTATAAGCCACCCTCTCTCTTCTATCCTCCCCCAAAAAAAAACTGCATCTTGGCCTCCAAAACTGAACTAAAATTACAAAACTACATCACGTATACGCCGTGATGCACGGCAAAGAACTTGGCAATTACCAGAGTCTCGCACCCCCGCCCCATTTGTAGCGGCTGTGCAGGCATTAAATCAACACCCAGTCACAATTCATTAAATTTAATTAATGCACCCACCTCGTTCTCGTTAGTTCAATGAAAAAAACTGCTGAGAGATTAAGAGATCTCAGAAGGAGAGAGATTTCCACAGAAATCTCAAGTCAGCTAAGAGCTTATCTAATACACTTTCTTCTTTCTCTGGAATAATTCATCAAAAAAGGTCACCAAATTGAATTTCAGCCACCCTTGACAACCTACTGTCAAGAATTCTTTGGCTTAGAGCTAAATCCTGATGATGATGGTCACATTTTTGAGTTAATAAAAGCTGACAAGTTGGCACTTTCTTTAATGGCTGCTCAAAGTCGGAATCAATTCGTCCAAAGAATTCTTTAATTTGGCATGGCTTTACCTTTACCTTACTTTCCATGGAAATTCCCCTATCAATTTTCCATCTCTGACATGTAAAACACTTTTGGCAAGTACTCTTGTGTGTCTGTTAACTCGTCGCAATTCACAATTTTCTATTTGTCATTCGTCTTTTCACAGTTTTTGTGTGTTTGCCGAAGCGAAAAACATTTTCCACTCGAACAAGTGCACTTGACAATGGCGAAAAATTTTATTGAATGTAAAGCAGCAGACTGCGAAAAGGGTTTTCCTACGAAAAAAATTGCCAAGTTGAGCAAATAAACTATATGAAATTGAGGTTGGCTCACACTCCGTTTGCCCTGCCACCTCTTCAAAGCTGTTGCTTCGCAAGCTATGTGCTATATATATATATTAGCAGAGACTTCCATTAGCTGTCTGGTATAGAATCGTGGCACTTAAGCCCCATTTCACCCGAAAGTATCCTGAACTTTGGCCTTTTCCCTCCTGTTTACTTTCAATATTCTACTCACGCGGCGACTGAAGGTATGAAACCCCGACGACTCGGCCGGGGAGACGACACATTGGCCCACAATTCGTTGGCCGAGATTGAAATGCGTTTGGCATTTAACAGGTTAATGCAAAAATAAACACATCAAACAGCAGGCCGCCTTCCCTGTGCTCCGCAGGCTCCCAGCTCGAATACCTGAACGAACAATTAAAAGTTTTACGATGCGAAGTAAACAAAAACCAAACAATGCAGCGGCGCCGAATTAAAAGGCGATTAAAAATAAATTAAGTTTACCCCGGCAATTGTTATAAGCCAAATGGCAAACGCAGCGGGACGAGATGTAACATTTAACTTTAAAAATGTTTGAGTTTTTCACTTGGCACTCAGCACTCGGACGCCCACCAC